TGTCAATCTGGAACTACAGAAACCTTAACCTGTATAATCTCTAAATATGGTAGTACTATGCCTTTACATGTATATGGACATCGTCAATCTGGAACTACAGAAACCATAACCTGTATAATCTCTAAATATGGTAGCACTAGGCCCTTGTATGGACAATGTATATATGGAAGAAACACCAGAAAGGCTGCATGATTTTCCTTATCAAATTTAACACGGTCCATGGCAACACAACATAATGCAGCATAATGCAATGTCAAAATACGAATACTGACATGTAATAAATATACTAAGTTATTTGCATAATGTTTGTTCAATCAGGAAGAGCTGGATGGTCCTCCATTTCAGACGTCAGATATTCAGGTAGAAGCGGACAAGGGAGAGATTGTGGCCTGGAATAATGTGATGTTTACAACAAAATCAACAGCACTAGAAGGACATATAGCAGGACGATTTGTTGATATGTCGGCATAGAAGCAGCCAAATCAGAATGCACAACTATACACTTTTTACTATTTTTTTTAAAATTGTGATTGCTTTCTTTAATTAGTTTTTTTTTTTATGATTTATTTCAAGGGTGGGTATGTTTATTGTTGTTGGCCTTTACCTGTAGCAACTGTTTCAATATTTGCCTCTGTTGCATAGTGTAACTACACTCTATACAACTAAATGAGCTAATCAAAGATGAATTTACCAATCACTGATTCCAAAAATCTGCTGAATTAAATTATCAAATTGTAACATGAACATAGAACCTATTGCAGGTGAATCCACGAATCGTGGAATGAATCAGTATGAACTTTTTTATAGTGTTTTTTGCTTTAATTTCTCATACAAGGATTTCTTTTGTGATGTGTTCCTGTGATAGCTAGCCATCTATTCCTGGCTGCTTGTTTTTTTATATAATACAGAGACTTTTGTTTTGAAAATGTTTTAGCGCAAAAAGAAACGTTTTTTTAAAATTTTGTTGTGGACTGTGAGGGCGCTGCTCATTATTATGTTTCTTACATGTGAGGGCGCTTTACACTGGAATAAGTTGATGGAATATGTTATGATACTTGAGTTATTTTAAAATGAATGAAACTTTCTTAGTCAACTTTATTGCTTCCAAAATAACACCTAATTATCAAATCACGGCAGTCTCTACTGACAATACTGTTCACTCTATCTTTGAGTGTTTGTTGTCAGAAGTTTACATATGTTAAATTATTCGCTTGGTTTCAATTGGGAAACATTTGCTGATAAGTTGAACAAGTCAAATTACAATCGAACTCAATCTTTTACCAAAAATTCAATGAATTTACACTTAAAAATCAATGAACAGTATATTTGATGTAAGTATTTGAAGTCATGTTTTGCATTACACTAGTAAGTGATGTCAAACCAATAATTTTCTTATAGAATCCATGAAAAAAGCAAAGCATGTTTGTACCAAAGATTTCACTGGTTAATGGGTGGCTGACACAAACCTCCCTTAAACTGATGCCTCTGTAGACAGTGTAATAAATTTAGGGTCGTACCAATTAAATATGCAGGATCATTGGGTAAATATTGTAGAGAATACATGACAAGTTCCATCAACCTATTTCGTCCTTGTGTGTGTATGTGTGTGGGTATGTATGTGTTTTAAATATCACTAATAGCTGTATGGTCATGAATGACTACTTCGTTTTAGAAGCGTCTTATTCCACTCATACAATGTGTGCCTTAATTTTTAAACCATTGTTACAATAATACTGTAAATATGTGTGTAATAAGATTTATGACTTATTTTGGTCACGTGTGTATTTTATTGAAAAGAAACTGATGATCAGTTCTTATTTTAGCTTCTTGTACTGATGGGTGAAAAGTTTGCTATGTTGCAATCATTTGGTTATGTTGATTTGAAGCAATATGCGTTCGTTTCCATGGTACCTGAATTTGTAATACCCAGCTACTCTCTATTGTGAATTATTTTCAAAGCACATACCGTAAATGTCTCAGCAGTGGCTGGGATCTGTGCTCTTTAGAGTTGACCTCTAATACATTTGCACATAAGAAATGTTTTGTTTTTGTTGTTGCAATTATCACATGCGTAGTGTATTACTTGGACGTAATACAGGGCAGATAAAAAACAACAAAGTGACATCACATATTGTCATTGTCCATGCTGCCTGAAGGTTAGCCAGAGCTAATAATGGCAAGCTCGAGTGTGAGTTTTCAGTCGTAATAAAAAACAAACAAATCCAAGCAAATTGGAGCTAATATCTCGAATATGCAGATTCGCCACACAGCATATGTAAGGCATGAAATAGAACACTGTTGTGTCAACAAATTAGCATACGAGGCACATGCAATGACATATTTGTTTTCATTGTCCCTTCAGCAATAGATAGTCCCACTGTCTACACTCAGTGAGGTTAATATGAATGTGATAAATTTATAATCCCATGATATTTTTTCATAGAACACTTTCGTGATTACCACCAGAGTAGCATTAATCCTCACATGAAATACAAATTGATACAATACTTTGCCGGTAATCCCTTGAAAGTCAACCTAATGAAACATATCAAGGGATTATATATGATTACCACTATGAATAAAAAGCATATGTTTTTCAGAGATTACATTTAATAACCAGCAAGTGCCTAAAATATCAGTTAAAAAGTAAATATTTTTTTGCATAACTGAGTGAAAATTTACTGTTTGCCCTTTTTTGCTGTTTAATGAATATTTATGAGCATGTTACATGAATATTCATATGCCTGTTCTCATGAATATTCATATGCCTGTTCTCATGAATATTCATCAGCATGTTCTCATGAATATTCACAAGCATGAGTTTGGCTTTTTCCCTGTACAGCTTTGACGAGTAATAATAAATCTGGATTTATCTATGCAAATACCCATATGTATGGGTTTGTAAATTTTAAAATATATTTCTGAAAAGCTGATTTCTTTTCAGTGGTATCCAAATGAGTTGATTGTGTTTATTATATTGCTTTTTATAAGGAGAAACAGCCTATGGCAAAATTAATTTGTACAGTTTTACAAATCAGCCAGCTGAATTGACTTTGACCTGTGTATAGTACGATTAAATCTAAATCCATCAAATTTATGCAACAGTTGAGTTGCAATCTGGGAAAGTTAGTGATGTCACAATTGATGTTTGAATTCTGTGTAAACATGTGTTGTATACATTGTGTGTGATATGGGTCCCACGTGACAGATACAACATTGTTTACATGAAGTACATGCAGCACAACAACTGGCAGTTCAAAGTCACTATGATTGCAGCCATGTTAGAAACCAGTAACACAGACTAGCTTCCATATATGATACACAACATTACATGGCTATTCTCAGTATCTCCAGTATGGTCACGTACAATTTTGTCGTACATTTTCACCTCCGTTTCCTGCATTGCTTCATGGGAAAAAATCATCAGAAAATGATGAAAACAAATATTTTTTGGCTAAATCACAAGACACGGAACAGCAGACATACTGGTAGCTTTGTTTGCATTATGACTGATTAGTGTTTTCCCTGCATTTCCCCATTCCAGGTTTTATTTCGTGTTGTAAAATAAAAATGTGTCAATCCAGGTGGTTGAGATTGAATCAAAGATATTTGAGATACTGAGAATTACTATGTGGCATCACTAGCATTATAGGGACATGTCATTTTACAAAAAAATTAAAATTTTAAGTCATGCTTTCTGTAGTACAGCTTTCAATATAAGCTAACACTATTTTTATAGACTAAGCAAACTGCCAATAACCACATTGGACTAAAAACTGTATGTGGTTGTCATCGTTTAGTTATTTTGAAAATATAATGACTATTGTGTATTAACCAAATAGTGTGCATATACATTATTAAACCAGTCTTACCAGTCATGGACGATGATTCTTATTATGTAATTATTTTACTTGTCTTTGGATTAACATCGTGTGAAGAAACGTGTGATTAAAACAGGAGTGTTCAAAAGTATATATCTGTTGTTTTTAATTGTTTATATCCTATAACATAAAGTGCTAAAATTGCACATCATATGTTTGTGTAAAATGTACGAGTCGAACAGGAAGCAGTGTGATGACTAGCACTTTAAAGGTACTGTAAAATGCTTTATTTTCGCTTGCAATTCATTTTTGCTATTTTCGCTGAAGGGGTGATTCAGTGAAAAGTAAAATCCAGCAAATAAGCCTTCCTATATTTTACATTCAATATGTCAAAAAACAGTGAAAATAAATTCTACACAAAACACCCCAAAAGTCTTTTCAGTGAAAATTAATTTTAGCTAAAATAAAATATTTCAGTACACACAAATTTACTGTGAAAATATGCATAAGTTGTTTGGTAGTCTTGTGCCCAACGATCATTGACTTGGCGACACCAACCTTTTTGCTTGCCCATAATGTTAATGAAGGGCGAGGTATAGCAGAAACTTTGTTGTTCAGTTGTTGATAATTACGCATGCATCTGGATAACTTGAGTAATTTTAATCCAAACAATGGTTTGGTGAATTTTGTAATAACAATTTTTCATTTCCTTATTCAACCATTATTCTCACATATTAGCCATCATGTGTGCTTACATTGACCTTCTCAAGTTTATTCATTTTATGATTTTGGATTAGCTCTTGATGAAATGGAAAAAAAACATACAAAAGACAAGATATGTCATATTTTCAAAGAAGGCCAACAAACTGTAAGGTAACCAGAGTTTAACTGTTTTCCATCCAAAGACGAGTATACTTTATGACCACAGGTAACTAGACATTCTAGACTTAATGGTTGCTAAGTAATAGAACATGTCAGTTTTGAATGGAAATGGTAACAATATGATACAAGCATTTCAAGTACAATATTTGTTTTAGACAACTTAACAGCACAATTAATGAAAAATATTTTTGCCCGATACCATGACACACACAAAATGGGTTTTGTTGGGCGAGACTATTAGACACATGCTTCTGTATTTCTTGAGGTCATAATTTCCTGAACGGTAGCCACCAAAATCACTGAATCATGTTGCAAGTATAACCAGATTAGTGGCTAGATGTAGTTGTTCCGACACTTGGATGTCAGGGCAAAAGTGGTAGTCTGACACTATACGATTGGGACCACATCACTTGCTGTGCCAGTGGGTGCACAAAATAATAAGACTGACGTCTTGTTCATCACATTTTAAACAGGCGTGAAATTATCTTATTTGTTTTGGTTAGATTAAATAATACCAATTCAAACTATTACAACTTAAAACAATTTATTCAACTTTCCATTCAATTTTTTGCAAATAATGTCATTTAGATTTCAAAGCTCGTATATATTTACCAATACAATGAACATATAAACATAACATACAGTATCCTTTACAAAATACATAGAAAATGAGACTAAGTCAGCTATGCCAAAAATGACCTATTTAGGGCCACATATACTGTTGAATATTTTATTTTAGCTGGAATTTATTTTCACTGAATAGACTTTTTCATTTTCACTGATTTTTAAAGAGTGAAAAGTAAAATATATAAAAAAAAAAAAAAAAAGTATATTCGCTGGATTTTATTTTTACTGAATCATTGCTTCAGCGAAAATTTATTCCAAACGAAAGTAAAGTATTCTACAGTATATTGTAAGGCTTATTATGCAAAACAATGAATATTCATTCTTTGAACGTGTTAATAAATAAAGTACTTTGCTACTATATGTGAGGTTTTATTTTCGCTGATAAACAAAATCTGCAAATATAAACACAAGCGAACATGTAAAATTACAATATAACTCATTGTTTTACTGAAAAATCTGAGAATTTGATCAAGACACTGAAAAACAACATGTGTACATAGAATGTTCCCTTCGCATTCAAGTCATAAAGTAACATGGAATTTATTTATAAATTACTGTAAAATAATTTTTTTGAGTGGCTACAAGACTCTTCACTATGAACATTACTTTATGTTACAGTGGGTGGCACCAATCGCATTTCATCATATCCAGGTCTCAAAAAAAAGTACCTACTATTTTCCAAATTGACTAGAATTAAAAAACTTTTAAATTTGGTATGACCACAGTACTGTCTTGGTGGCTACTTTGCGAAACTCTTGGCAAAGCTTTATGAATACATTATGTGTCACAAGTTTCTGGACATCAATGCTAATGAGGACACTCAGAATGATACATGCCACAAGTGCCTAGACATCACTGCTACTGAGATCACTCAAAATGCCACAAGTGCCTTGACATCATTGCTAATGAGGTCACGCAAAATGATACATTGATACTGCCATAAGTGCCTAGACATCACTGCTACTGAGGTCACTCAGAATGATACATTGATACCTGCCACAAGTGCCTAGACATCACTGCTACTGAGGTCACTCAGAATGATACATTGATACCTGCCACAGGTGCCTAGACATCACTGCTACTGAGGTCACTCAGAATGATACATTGATACCTGCCACAAGTGCCTAGACATCACTGCTAATGAGGTCACTCAGAATGATACATTGATACCTGCCACAAGTGCCTAGACATCACTGCTACTGAGGTCACTCAGAATGATACATTGATACCTGCCACAAGTGCCTAGACATCACTGCTAATGAGGTCACTCAGAATGATACATTGATACCTGCCACAAGTGCCTAGACATCACTGCTACTGAGGTCACTCAGAATGATACATTGATACCTGCCACAAGTGCCTAGACATCTACTTGGTACCTAGACTACAGTGATTTCTGGATGATTTCAAATCATCATTACTCATCACAATCTTGACCATTCAGAGATCCTAAATGTGACAGTATACCCCGGTAGATACAGTAGCATTATCTACGATGCATGTCAGTGCGTTCACACTCTGCTACCCTAACATACCGGGTATAACACACTGGGTGATTTAACAAAGATAAAAAAAAAAATGAAGACTATCGGTACATTTCAAAACATGACTTACATAATCAGCTACCGGAAAGTATGAACTATAAAATACCTCGCGTAATACCCTGCCATATTCCGCATATCTACATTTTCCACATAGAAGCATATCAACAGTTTACTTGTGAGAGACAAGTTATCACGAATTGTAGCGATTTCCCTATGGCCCTAACGACAAATGAAGTTGCAGTGGCATTCATAAAATTTTTCCTCACAACCATTTTTTTTATTCAGTGCACAGGCTTCAGCTAATCAAAGGTAACATATGCTCATTTCAGCTTTTATTCTGACATATACTCAATGATCTAGATCTGGAAAGGCTCCTAAATTGTAAACTGATGGCTACAGATTGTTACAAAATATTAAAATTCTGAAACAAAAATGAGATAAGTGAAAATATAAAAACAAGATGCTGACAATGTTGTGTTGCAACTCAGGGAATTATAATTGACAGCCATACTTTGTAAATAAGTGTGTTGGTAATGCTAGTAAACTTCTTATGTTTTATTCTATCACCTTTTTCTAAATTATTCTCTGCGACTTGTACAACAATTGTAACATAGCCTATCTCCAAGGTCTATGACTATACAGGCGTATGTACATGCCATTTCTCAATTACAAACGATCACCAAAATATAACTTTTTACAATGATGAATTCACAAATTATTGCTTACATGAAAACAAGTATGGGTATGCCAGGGTGACACTAGTTTTTAATTACCGGTAGATACAATGGAAGGTTCTCTTCCATAATATGTTGTGCACATGTGCAGTAAAATTTGAATTCAGATCTAACTGCCTTAACCCTCTGAACGCCAAGGTGACTTGAGTAAATCTTTTCAAATTTTTTCAAGAAATTGATCAAGATCTGCAATGAATGGCTACGATTAACAAAGAAAATACACAGAAATGTACAAAATGGTGCACCAAGATTTTAGTGGAGAAAGATGTGGCGATCAAAGGGTTAGGGGGTACCATTTACTCCATGACTACAACAATATAAGTGAACTAAACAGTGACGTACTCATTTGCATGTCCTAATAAATTAATCTCACAACATGCATAATTTTAATCAATCAAAATGTATACTCAGAAATGTAAATACAGCGTTCTGATCAACAAACCCTGCGTTCCAAAATTGAATCTTTTTCGATGTATTCAAGATTCTTCATTGTGTATTCAAGATTTCTTGTGGTGTACTCAAGATTCCTTGATTCCTCTATGACAACACCACTGTCTATAGTCACAATAATCTAGACATTAAAACTCTCTCCACATCCGCACGTTCCTTTGATGTTTGGATTTGTAAATACAAATTCTGAGCTCAGTTTATTTTCAACAAAGTCCATCTCGGTTCCTAGTAATGTTAGCTGGGCCTTGGAATCAATGTACACCTTAGCACCTGAAATAAGAAAAATAACAAATTCCTTTTATTATTATTACAAGTTAAGGAAGTGGTTGTCAATGAAAACCTGCAATATATGCTATGTTTAGGTTACGACTAACAAGATCTTGGCACGAGCTGAAATTTTATAATCCTTTGCGTTTACAGAGGGATAACGACAATTGCGTTTATGTTAGTCAGGACCCACGCCTTCATTCTTCGATCTGTTATTTGAAGGTTCCGAGTCTCGGCACTGAACACCACTATGAATTATTTATCTTAATTTATTTAATTACCTTGACCTTATTGTTAAAGAGATATGGTATCAACAGCAACAAAGTACATAAGAGCGAATCAAACTCACAGATTGAACAAACACATACAAAAATATTTTGCAAAGGGTTAAGAATAAAATAGAATTTTTCAATATTATTATTATTATTAATTGAAATAACTATAAAGTGATGAGATTTTCTGGAATAGTTTTTCTTTAATTAATCTCTGTATTTTACATTCAGTCACAGAATAATATCCAGATTCCACCTTGATATGTTGTACACAGTGGACATTTTCTATAACATACAAGTAGTTTAGGCATCTTATATTTCATATATTCTATGCTAAGTTTATGTGTATTGATGTTTTGTTTTTTTTGTTATTGTGATGACATTTACATAGTGACTAGATTTTTTTGATGTTGCGAATATTTCTGAAGAATTTGAGTTTGCTATCAGACTCTTTCAAATCTATTATTTTCAATATTTTTGTAGTACCGGTAAGTCTTATTAAAAGTGATAAGAAATTTATTAAAATTGTTTTCCATATTGTCTGCCTAACTTTATAAGTGAGTAATCCAAGCCTAAATTGTATTTTTATATATTTTATGAATTATAAGGAGATGACCTAGCCCCAGCTTGGAAGTAATATTGGATGGTTTACAACAGATAACTTTATGCAGTGTTCTCCACGAGGGGTTTAAGAGGGGCGCAGTTCCCCTCTTTAATTTATTTGCGCCCCTCTTCAATTTGTAGCGCCCCTCTATTTATCTTCAGCGCCCTCCTATGTTTTCGGTGGACAGCTGTTTTACCAGTCCCGGAAGATATCCCGACGACGTTATTAAGAGACCTTTGGCTGGTCCCCGCCTCTACGCGGGTCACGTGATCTGACGCACAGTTCAGCGAATGAGAGACCTCTTATTAATTGACAGGCGATAAAACAAAGAACTAAGAGATAGGTAGTGGCATAGGTGACAACTAGGACAATGGATTGGGTGTCTGGGGAAACACTGGCTGAATAAATTAATAAAAAACAATGGCTAGAAGCGTGAAGTGATTGTCACAAGCATTGCGTTAATCACGCAATGGGAGAGTCAAAACAAGTTTGTTCATCATTCCTGAATTAGCTAAGATACTTAAGAACAGAAGAACCAACAACAATTTATTGGTCAAATTGCTTGTTACTTGCCTTTTATTGGCGAAAAGTAAAAAAAATCATCAAAAGAATCGCCAAAACAAAACGTACGGTAAACACTGAAACAACATGGATGACATGGTATCTGATTTGACCTTTGTCCTCAGTACCCATAACGCAATCAATATAATGATCAATTTATTTACAGTCATCGGATTCAATTTTTTCTTTTTTCTTTTAAATGGTAATTTTGTTATGTGAAAATATTTTTCTTCTTATTACTTGAGTTTTTCAACTATTACAATATGTCAGAGCATTTATAAAACTTATGAAAATGAAAATACTTGAAAGAAATTTAAAAGTAATGAATGAAAGGCTAGAATTTCACAACTTGTCCCATTACAGAGAATAAAATGGATATTCTTCATCTGTCATCAAGTGGTTTAATTTATTCATCAAAATAATTCAAGAACATTAATATAGTACTTGTACACAGTATTTGAGGTTAATGTAAATACATGTATAAAAGTGCTATGAATTGTCTTTGAAATGTTTGATTGGTATGCTAATTATATGCAAATTAGATATGCTAATTATATGCAAATTAGCACCCCTCTTTAAATTTTATTTGTGGAGAACACTGCTTATGTCTTTGGCAAAAGTGGAAGATATTGTGTTTTATCAATACTGCTTGTATCACAACTTTCAAAAGCCCCTAAAATTTCAGTGAAGTAAATTAAAACTGGCAGAATAAACATGTCATAGACTGTAGAAGAGATTCTAGTGTTGTAGTTAAGTTAAAATTTTTGTATTACAAAAAGGCCATCTGTAATTGTATGTAATTACTGTCATCTCTATCTAAAGAATGCCACCATGCATGGTATATTGTTCTTGTTGAGTTAATATGGAGTATCGGTACTGTAAAATACTTTATTTTACCTGGAATTAATTTTTGCTGAAAAGACTTTTTGGGTATTTTGTATGGTATTATTTTCACTGACAAGTTAAATGTAAAATATTAGAAAAAAGTATATTCGTTGGTTTTTATTTTCATCAAATCATTCCTTTAGTGAAAATAGCGAAAATTTATTCCTAGCGAAAATAAAGTATATTACAGTGACTGAAAATCCATCTTTTGCATCTTTAGTTGATTTGTGTCTGGGAGAATTATGATTTCTCAAACTCACCATTTTGGATAACTTCCTCATCAAATTTCTGTTTCTCATATGCATAGTCCAGTGTATATGAGAGTCCATTGCAACCTCTTGTTTTAACTCCAATTCGTACACCAAGTACTTGGGGTTTATCAGCCATCAGTGTCTTGATTTTAGTAGCCGCTGACTCTGTCTACGATAGAAATCAGTGAATATTTAATGAGAAATGCAAATAGAATGAGATTCAAGATAATACTGTGCTGTAAGCAACGCAGATATGGTATATATACCAATACACAGTTCTGTATAGTCTTGGATACAATATGCATGCAGTACATCCAGATTCTGTGCTTTGATTCATTGGTCAATCTGCAGTCACATAGAGGTACTCAACCAATCAACAATTTGCTGAAGACTTGCACTAAAGTGGTGTTCTCACTAGACGAAATAAGCCGTTGTCACAACGCCTTTTATTTGAGAACCTTGTTAAAATGTGTGTGTGAACAGAATACGCCGTTGTGGCGTCGCTTTTTCGACACTGTCGTAAAAGGGGTGGACCAGATTCTAAACGTCGTTGTCACACCGGCTCTTGCACAATGGAATGTTCTGTGTGAACACAATACGACGGCCAAATGCCCTCAACCGCCGACTTCTGAAAATGACTGACATCTTTTTTGAAAACAGGAAACAGTTCAATTAGATGACCATGTATAATAATATATTTGTAACTAAACATGTCTACATCTAAATCAGAGTGTTAGAACAGTAAAATAGGTCAGTAACTAAATACCATGGACACTTGACACAGGGAATCTAAAAATACAATTGTGCTGATACAAAATCATGTAATAATCACATGTAATTACATTTTTGTAACGTGCTAGCAGTTTATTTTAATTAACTTTTAATTTTACCTCATTTGAATTTTATGGGTTTTGCATTTTTTTGTATTTATGTTCCTTACCATACAAAAACTCTCTGAAGTCACGAAGTGAACACAATAAGAGACGACTGATGTTGACATATACAAGGCAAAAACAACCACTGTAAAGCACAGCCATTTACACCATGAAAAACACAGACATCTAAACTACAATATCACCAAAGGTATGAAATCAGAAACATGTGGAGTTGCAGTTGTGATATTTGACAAACAATTTTCACTAAAAAAAAAGATGAGGGAATTGACATATCTATTCACACAGTCGATCGACAGAGTTAGTATTCACAATCTCCGATCACGTAGAAAGTCGGGGAACAAATGACGATCACACATGTGATAATCATGATAATTAGTGCGCATAATATTTTTTGCTGAATCAAAAAAAAAAAAAAACTTGTTTCTTGGGGTATCTACTACATGTACATCCATGCTTGGAGAATAGACTCTCATATAGTTCAAACAGATAAGCAAAACAAAAGAGTGGTCAGTAAAAACAAAAGGTTTTTAATCTATGCTCCTATGTGAACAAGGCGCTGTTATCAACAGTTTTTTTGGTTTGCATAAAGTCCAGATGTGTAAATAAATCTTTAATGAAAACACCAAATAAACCGTTGACAACAGAGCCTTGGTTACGTAATCATGGAGCTCCAAGGTGATATCAAAGACAATAGTTGCATTCACGCACAGCTCCTTAGCACGGGCTAAGAGGTCAAATTCCTTAGCCCGTGCTAAGAAAACGTGCGTGAGCGCTTAGCACGGGCTAAGGAATGCTAAGTACGGGTTAAATCTGATCCGAATTTAAGAAGTGGTCTAGACCCTCAGCACGGGCTAACGAAGTGTGCGCGAACGCTTAGCCCAGGGCTAAGCGCCCTCTGCAGCGACCTTTGGGTGTGAACATTATGCACGTGATCAAATATATCCAACTTTCTCATTCCCAAAATGGCAACCGAGCTCAGTGTACACGCTTCCACACTGATCAGGTCATTGTAGTAGAGCGTACAGCAGCTCCAATCGTAGACAAAATAAATTTGTTTCGCTGTCCACGACATGCATTAATAAAACGAAACATGTCAGCAGCAGAAATTGGCTGGTTCCCGCCTCAAGTGTCATGGCGTACCAATGTTCCTACCTGCCATTCGCAAAGGATGCCTGGAACCAGCAAACAACAGAAATAGAACCTCGTGTCATCCATTTTTCGTTTTGTAAATAGCGGCTTGCCAAAGGTCATCAACAGATGGCGCCCCTTAGCCCGTGCTAACGACTGGTCCTCCCTGTGCATGGACGCAATTGGGTCTAGCCGAAATGTAAATATGCTAGATAAGCCTAAATCAGCTTAAATCTTAGCTCGTACTTTGTGTAACGTGAACACAACTAATGCTTCTCCATGATAAGAGTTGAGAGGATAGAAGGAAGAATGAAAAAGATTTTTTTTATCAAATTTGCAATCAAAGTTATTCCATTTCTCTATGCTAGGATATCATATTTGTAGCCTAAAATTTACACGTTGGTACAATGCACAGAGGTGGGTTTTCTATTTTTTGATCCATAATAACCCGTTCTCACATCACAACACAGATTATAAATAAATGTAAAGGGAGACTATGGAACAATTTGTACGAAGAGGAAGTTGAGTGACGTCATGAGTGGACAGTCGTATCCAAAATCGATTTGCCCTATTGGTCGGTGTATACCGTTATGTGGTAACGTTTTGTCACCATTCAGGCAGTGAATTGGGGCGAATTGACTGAATTTGATGATGTACGTTCCAGACACAGACAGGTCAACGAACTCGGCGGTTCGACTTCATGACGAATTTCACCGATCACAGTTAAAAGCACAATTTAGCAATATATAAGTTGAATCACGTCACATCCTGGGCTTGAACTAATCCGAGATTTGTCACTTACCAGGTTTAATGCAGCTCTGCTAGGAATAAGTCGTCTTTTTCCAGTAGCGGCTCGCACGGACGCTCTTATGACCGGCGCAGCCATTTTTAAAATCTTGTTTTTAAAACATCGCCCTCTGCCGTCACTAAAAACCACATTCCGCTTCGAACGTCTTATGCGCAAAGGCTCATGGGACAAGGAGAGACCTACAGGGCTCATACCACTAATTGAATTTCCATAGACGACAATGTTAACATATGACGAGATTGCTATATGAAAATGACGAAGAAAGTTGAAAATATGGCTCAAAAATGGGAAATCAACATGCCAGTAATCAACCATATGAAAAAAACTAACATGTTGGCCAGCTCAAACTCTTGCAAATCTCAGGTAAACAAGACACACTGTATTTGGATTGCACCAAGAGAAATCACTGGAAAAACACCAATATTAGAACATCCATTAACACACAGAATAAACCCACAGGTACACAGCCGCTAAGTAGTAAACAAAAGACCACATGTTGGTCTCACCTCTGACCCAGGTGATTACGCCCTCAAACAGGGAGCATCTGAGAAAAATAATATTTAAAAAATTTCATTGGTTCTTGCTAGGCATTTAAATTGCTACGAGCAGCCATTGGTTAATTAGTGGCATGAGACCTACACATAATACGTATTCTAGTGTGCAAAGAAATGCGGTCACTGACTATTTTTTTACATAGACGTAATATTAATGTATGTGGATTACAGAGCATGTAGGACTCTACAGGGAAAAGTATAAGAACAAAATATTTTCGATTTTTTTTAAACTCGGGGGAGGGGGTGTACGAACGTATAAAAAATACAGAAAAATAAATAAGTAGTCAGTATAATATTTAATTCCAACACTGTAAGAAAGCTGGCCTCACTATTCCATAAACTAGACAATATACCGTTGTTGGACAAGAAAAACACGATCTCTAAATTTAAATACAACGTTTCTGCAAAAAATGATTCACAACAAAGACAGGGCACTATAGTCATGTGGGTAGCCGACAAATCTACGGATAAGAAACCTTCAAGGCAATACGAATCGTTTTGTTAAAAAAGTTAAGAACAACATATATTTCAAAAGTAAGTTTTAAGCAGAAGACAATTAAAGGGCTGTAGCCGACGCGCCACGCATGCGCGAGATATATGGGTCTCATACAAACAAAGATGGCGACTTTGACTGTTGCGCAGATCAAGGAGTACAAACTGAGCCGCTACAAAGCTTTAATTGGGTATTTTTTAGGTGATTGGAAGGTATCGAAGTAAAAGAAGGTACGGTATCAACGGCGGTAATTTGTGCAAGTCACGCCCATATATAACCTCATACTCGTGATTTCCATTAGGAAAGTGCAATGGATTGTGGGAAAATCAATGTTTATCAACACAAATGTCGCCCATGCGCAGCTCGACGACCAGCGCCCTTTAACTTACAATTTTCTAAGAAGTAGGTTAGTTCTAATACGAAACAATAAAGTGGCATTTTGGGCATTAGCCCGAGCTAAGCGATCCAGATTGTGTTTTTAATTTTTTATTTATAATTCGGTCTTCGTCCGTCCGTCTGTGCGTCCGTCCGTCTGGAGTCATATTTCAGAATCCTTTGGACCAATTCCGTTCATTCTTTGCATGTGTCTAGTACTTTATGTGGGACATATGCACATCCAGTGGTTTAGCGATTCGATTCAAAATGTCCGACTGGCAGCCATCTTGTTGTTGTTTTTAAATGTCGTATTTTGGACATGCTTTGTCAGTTTTCATTCAAACTTGGTACATACTAGTAAATTATACATATGATACATGTCCATGACAATTTCTTTCGCAATTGGATCAAAGATGGCCGACTGGCAGGCATCTTGTTCTTTTAAAATGCTTTGTCAGTTTTCATTCAAATCTGGCACATACTTTATACATGTTAGGATACTTGTCCATGACAATTTGTTTCAAAATCGGATCAAGGATGGCCGATTGACAGCCATCTGACTTTTTGTTTTGGCCTTATTACTATATTTCCAAGATTTGTGTACATTTTTATTCGTATTTGGCACATACATCATACATGTCAGTTTGTTTCATAATCAGATCAAAGATGGCCGAATAACGGCTATTTTTATTTTATATTACTATATCTCTGTCACCCATGTATCATTTCCATTGATATTTAGCATGTCATAAATGGACGTTTTACACTAATAAACTGATGAACTATGCCACCTGCGGGGAGAGTTCTTTTAATTTTATGATGTAGATGGGCAAGTGTAATTCACAGACAGATCACCATTGTTTGACACCCCCTGCCATGTGAATTTAAATTAGAGGCATGATAAACGTTAAATTGTATTCAACACATTATTTTGAACTGCAAATTTGAGGACACTGCTTTCACCATATTATTTAACACAAGAGCGCGCTTGACTTGTACAAAGGGTCTATTAGCCACTTTAGTCCGGAACTAACAATACAATTACAAAGAGTTGCAATTGCTGTATTCCCTATCCCAGAATCTCAAATTCGATCATTACACATATGTTAACATTGTAAGCCCCATGTAAAGATTTATTGTAGGGCATCATGGCAACATGCATTCATATTCATGAGATGTATGGTAATGTAATTTTAGTGCCTCATTCCCATCCTCAGACTTGCATTTTATCAAACATACTCTAAACAATTTTAGCAAAAGCAATAACATAGACATGCACCTCAATTTGTTTTACTTTCACATGTGATCTATGTTTTCTTTGCCATGTCTTAAACTGGAGGGGTCGTCACGCAACACGTGGTCGAATTTGATGTAAATAAACAATCTGTTGCATTTGCCACTTGGGATTTAAGTTTCAAGGACACGCTCGCGACACCCCCCCCCCCGCGCTTTAATATGACGAGCACACAGAGAACTTTTAACGGGAACTGCGTCATTTTCAATGACTTGTTTTTTGCACTTTGCGCATGTTCCGTCATAAATCAAATTTGGCCCTCTAGCGGCCATGACGTCAAAATGGCCGAGATGTCTGTAAGCAAAGTCGTTCAAATCTCTTTGCCGCGGATTCTTTCCAAACATTTTTCAGCTGTACACGATTGAATGTATTCTGAATAGCTCATGATGTTAGAAATACTTTGTTCGGGTCGGGAATCAGGGATTATTAAGAATGCAAACTACGTTAAAGTGGGGGAGTCGTTACCTGTGCATGCGTCAGATAGTCATAGCGTGTCATTGTTTACAAACAAGCGTCTATCCATGAACCTTTGCGTTTTTAGCGTGTGTTGTTATCGTCGCTTGGGACTCGCGCGTGCGCAGGTGACGACCCTCCCGCTTTAAAGTTAGCTTCAAAACGTGGTGACAATATGGAGGTAAGCCAAACTAAAAACATCCATTACCACTGAAAATTAAAAAGGTACAAACAGTTTGTAGTATAGTAATGTGTTATAACTGAAATTGAGAATCATGATATGTAAGCTTGTGAGTAACACATAATATAAATATCAGTCTTACGTTGTCACCGTCTAAAATACAACTACAACAAAAAACAGTATTTTTTTATTGTTGGACGACCAGCATAATGACAAGCATATTACGAGATACCAATTGACCAAGCCCACTTCATTGTCTGTTATTGTCACAGCTTCGATTAAAATGTTTTCAGTTTCAATGAAGCAGCCGAGGGGTTATTCGAGTTCATATGAACGAATCACACGCAAATCTCAAACACTTGTATTCAGTGTCATTAACCTTGCAAATTCGTATCTACAGATCTGTGCTGCCGACAATAAGTTACTCCAGGCATGCCATTTACTTTTGGTTTAGTTACTACCGTAGTTCACCTTGTTATCAACATTGTCGTCATTCACGTGCGCCAGCTCTGAAGAGTACCTCTCAATTAGTAAGTGAATAGACGACATTATCCTGTCTCAGTCTCAAATTGTTATTATTGGCGAAGATCTCATACGTTTAAATGTGCAATAGTGGTTGAAACATGCCATTTTCAATACTGTTATTTGATGCAGTATGTTGATGAATACATTGGATTATGATTTATCGTGAACACCAAACTCCGTTCAACAGTTCTTGTAGGACACATTCGATGAAGCAGCATAATTCTCTAACATACGTGTACAGTCTGTGCTAATTCAGTGAAATCAACATTAAAAAACTCAAAATCCTACCAGTGTATAGGAAAAGAAAAATACACACAATGATTAAAACATAAACAAAAAATTAATCACAGCTAAACAAAAAGAGATATGCAGTTTCTGCCACCCCTAATGGTCAAACCCTTCTAAACATTGTCATGACGGAAAGTCTTCTGATTCCTTCGCCACAGTTGAAGAGGGTTTGTTTCATAGTTTCCCCTCTCAAGGAAATGAACTTGGCGGCGACTTAAGCTTTGTAAAACTGTGGTTCGTTTAACGAACCATTTCACCATGTTTACTGTACTCTCATCGACCCTAATGGTTTTTCCACATATTCATGAATATTCATGAGACAGCACTGCGTGACGAGAAATCTCGATCGCCGATTACCTGCCGGAATACGAATTGAAGGGTAAGTCCGTAAATCCGATCAGTGTTTTTCTGCATCGTTCACGCGAACCAACAACATGGCCGATGCAAAGCGCAGAAAAGCAGTAACATTGACAGTTCGAACGTTTGATATTCTCTTTCTTCGCCGACAAATTGAGGGACCACCGTGCCGAGGGACTGTAGATGTACTGAGTCGGTTGAAGACACCAATACTAGCACGACTTTGCTGGACAGAAATTCCCATAATATTATCGATGCGAAGTACCCTTACAATGGGCGTCAATTCACTCTAAAATGACGTACATGTACTTGCAGATGCCGATACTTCCAGATGCGGAATCGCTTTAAAACTGATAGTTTGTTGGTGGAAAAAAAGTGTGCGGTAATCGGTTTCCTGTGCTATTTTTAAATATGACATACTGCTATCCTCGGGCGCGGACATCCGGGCATTTTCACCGCTTGGCAACCCTGGCGGTGAAAACAAAGGCCTAAAACTCGCAGAAAACGGTACTTTAGGATGATTGTTGAGACTCCCCTGAACAGTGTAACCAGATTAGTCCTACGTATGTAACATATATAAATTTGGTTGTTCAGGATTA